GCAATCCCGTTTGAAATAAGTTTTCTACAGGTACAACCAAACTTCAAAACCAAATCTTTATATCTGTGGAAGAATTTAGTAAAGGTTTTAAGTAATTTGTGATAACGAAATCCCTGGCTTAATAATTTACCAGTAATACATAGATTACGTTCGTTAAAATCAAAAACGTCACAACAGACACGGGCATAGCGAACGAGTTGTGAAATATAAACACCGTAAGATAGTGCCCAAGGAACATCACCATCCAAAAAGGGAAAATTAACAATAGGGAACGAAAAATCGTCCCTTTTGTCGTAAATTTTAGTGTGGAGTTTCCCGTGTAAAACCGAAATATCTAAGTCTAGGAAAGGACAGTTGTTACCGTTTAAATTTGATTTATTTAAAGTAAGTTCCTTTGGGTAAATTTCGGCAGTATATTGAGAAAACTCTTGATTATTTAACGAAAAAATATCATCAAGATAACGGTAAGTATTGTTGAATTTATCAATTAAATGCAATTTAGACGGATCTTTACTGAGTTTGGTCATAAACTGTGATTCATAACAGTACAAAAACAAGTCTGCTATTAAAGGGGCGCAATTAGTGCCCAAAGGAATACCTACAACCTGTCGATAAACTTTGCTGCCGAAACGTATATAAATATTATCAAGGAGAAAATTAACAGCTTCAATCATCTTATCACACCTCCAGTAAGTATATCTAGCATATTTACCTTTGTTAATTGTTCAGTTTTTAAGAATCATATATGTACTCGATTTGCAAATGAATGTTTTTCATTAGATGATTTGACAATTTCTCTTAAATATTATATTTAATGATACATTCGTGCTCAAAAGTGTTGACTAGTATATTATAGAGTTCTCATTATTGTCCTAGTGCTTACCACAAGTTTCATGTGTACGCAGTTAGTGTACACCATTATATTTGTTACTAGTTTTTGTTTAAATGTCCAGGAAACATGCCAGGTAGTCGTTGTTTCTTGCTCTTTTGTCATTTCAAGAATTTGGTGTTATCGCTGATCTTAGGTATAAAAATAAGAAGATGTGGTATGATTGCCAATGGGACCAGAGACCAAATTACATAGAAGTTAAAAACCTATAGGTCACCGTACGGCCTTCAACAATGAGCAAAACCCAAAACCGCATAGTCAGCTATAAAAGGCCCGAAATGACAAATGTAAAACAATTCAAACGAGAAAACTTACTGCCAGGTTTATGTACAAAACAAAGATCGAAAAACAAATATGATATACAACAACAAATAACAACCACGGAAATACAGGCTCCTGACTTGGGACATGCACATAAAGAACATGGCGGGGTTAAACTAGTTTGATGGCACCAAACCCTCCCCCTAACCTGGGATAGTGGTGTAACAGTACCACATAAGAAAAAACTATAAAAATCAGTTGAAAAGGGCTTAACTCATCAGATCGATATAAAGCAGAAAGACATATAACAAAAACACAGACCGGACGTAGCAGGGTATTTATACATCCACACAACAAAAAAGACACAAGGTCTTGTTATTCTCTGACTGTTAATGACGTCTTAACACTAAATCCAATGGATGTTGGATGTGTACTGAATGATATTTTAGTCTTGGATGCATGATTTGTTTATTAGTCGTTATTGGCTATGAACTAGCTGTCAGTAACTGCGAGTACTCTCAGACCTGTATTTAGTGTCTTTTTGTTGCGTGGATGTATAAATACGCTGCCACGTCCTGTCTGTGTTTTTGTTATATGTCTGTCAAAATTTGTCTGTAATCGGGATGACTTAGAGCTTGACACCTAATTTGACTATTTGCCTATCATTAAAGCTATGTTATATTGATCTCAAGATGTCTATTTGATTCCAGTCTGCTGCTAAGTAAGGAATATGTTTCGTATAATGTTTTCAGTATTTAAAACTAAACGTGTAATGCCAAATAAAGCATACTAGTAGTTCTTTTATTCATTAAAGACATCTACTGTAGTTATGTTTTTTATAATGTTCTGCGTGTGTTTCAGGTATGAGTTGCATTTGTTCTTTATTTTATTTTATTTTATTTAACTATTACACTGCCTTTTATTGTTTTAGCTGGTATAATTATTGTAAAGACTTTTTTTTCAAAACGGGGCCATCTAATGGGAAATAATGTTGTTTTTACATCGTATTATAGACCCAAAAAATAAAACATTTCCCTTACAAAAAGGAAAATTAATCTAAACCCATAAAAAATTGCATTCATTTTCAATATAAGAATATTATCGCAGCATTCCGGATTTGTACCAGAGTCGATCTTCTATGGAAGATATTAAATGTTTCACTTTAATTTCATTTGACTACTCTACAGATGAAAACGATCACTAGCAGACATTTGAATTGTGCATTCAGTAACTCCAAATTTCCCTAAAAAAATGTATCCATGTTCAAATCTTGAAATCGATCTGAGGACGCCTTTGTTGTCAAAGAAAAACCAGGAAAGTGATATGTTCTCTTGAACATTTTTATTACGCATAGACGAGATAGATTGAAAAGATTTCATTGTACAATAACAAAATGTTGTATGCACTATTGTAATAATGTGCAATTATTTGAAAATAATGAAAAGATTAATAATAGACTGACTGGCTGAATATTCAAGAATTGACGGTAGGATATGATTTTTGTAAATATGAATCAAAAGATTGTCTCGGGATATAAAAAAAAGTAATATAACAAAAATACCGAACTCTAAGGAAAATTCAAAACTATACTAAATCTATTTTTACGAGGCTTAATAAATCGAGGCTCGCCGTGCAGTTTCGTTCTGTTTCGTGCCAATTACAAATAAAATTTATATTCCAGGCATACATGATTATGAAATTCTCCGAAAACAAACAAGGCTTTCTACGGTTCTACGGTAGCTTGTATCAGAAAGGTTGGTGTATTCGAATCAATTTGTCTACACAACTAGCACAGCTTCAGTAAGTAGAATAATTAATTAGTTGTTCCTTGCTTAGCTTTAATTTAAATTAACTTTATTATATACGAATTGTTGCAATGTAAATTATTGATTCACTTATAGGGTCTTTGCATCGGAATTAAACACATTTATTCTAAAACCAGTTGTTGGCATGACACGGGTTATGTTCTTCTCATATATTTTATGACGGTATAATACTAAACCCCTAACAGGAGGGATTGTGCCTGATATTCATATGATGAAGACATAATCTTTCAATCAGTTTAATTGAGGTCTGGAGCTGGCATGTCAGTAACTGCTAGTAGTTTGTTGTTATTTATGTATTATTGTCATTTTGTTTATTTTCTTTTGTTTCTTATTCTGACATCGGACTCGGACTTCTCTTATACTGAGTTTTACTGTGCGTACTGTTGTGCGTTTGTTTTTTCTACATTGGCTAGAGGTATAGGGGGAGGGTTGAGATCTCAAAAACATGTTTAACCCCGCCGCATTTTTGCGCCTGTCCCAAGTCAGGAGCCTCTGGCCTTTGTTAGGCTTGTATCATTTTTAATTTTAGTTTCCTGTGTATAATTTGGAGTTTAGTATGACGTCCATTATCACTGAACTAGTATACATATTTGTTTAGGGGCCAGCTGAAGGACGCCTCCGGGTGCGGGAGTTTCTCGCTGCATTGAAGACCCATTGGTGGCCTTCGGCTGTTGTCTGCTCTATTGTCGGGTTGTTGTCTCTTTGACACATTCCCCATTTCCATTCTCAATTTTATAACATTTATTGAATTATTAGTAACAAAGAAGAATAACTCCAATTCTACAACGAATTTTAAACAGCAGGAATTTCTGTTCAAAGCAAGAAGACTTTATTTAAGAAGGGAGAATGCGTATTAGTGGTACTTAGATATATTGATATGCAAAAGACACAACAATTGTGGGGGGGGGGGGGGAGGGTTGCACAATTTTGTAGACCAATTTTAGTATCTATTGTTTGATAACATTAGCTCTCAGTTCCACACACCAAGTTCCGCCAACTATACAATTAACTCAAACAAAATTGGTTTTGGTCAACATTTTTACATTACAAAATGAAGCTTTATTTTTCAAAATTAAATTAAAACTTCAAACTGGAATTTACGAGTTAAATCAAGCTCTCGTTAATATTGTTTGACTGGATATTCCCAATGGCGTATTGTTATAACGTTGTCATGAAGTGCACTTGATGGTGCGATTTTTTTGTGGGGAAATTTTAATAAAACATCAAATGGTTGTTGTATGACTTTCAGAATTATGGATCCTTCTGAAACATCTATGTACTGTAATTGCAAATAATATCATCTATTTACACTTTCCTTTGCTACAGTTTTCTGTTATTATTTTTTTTTTCAGCATGGTTGGTGACACTATTTAATATTTACTTCACGGAACGAGGTGAAAGCTGAGATCGCAATTCGAACTATATAGGTCGTATTGACTAAAATTTTAGTCCCATTTTTTCTTACACTCTTTTTCGCCGTAAAATACATGAATTAATAGCCCCTCCCACATCACTAAGCATTTAAAAGCACTATAGACAACTACCATGTTTAATCCAAAGTTTACTCATAACTCAATCTGAAAGCTCAACAGAGGAAGCACGTATACTATGTGGATCTTTAAGTCCTAGTTACTCAACTATTTTGAGTAATTATTCATTCACTTCAAAGCCGTATACGGCACTTTACGAATTAACGTCGAGTGGAGACTATTTAAATTTCTATTTTTCTTAATTACTTTTACAAGCCTACTTTCTCAATAACATCATTAAAAATAAATGTTAGACAGGTATTGAGATAACGCGTCAGCTTACCGTTAATATTTCTCTCAAACAAACTATTCATGAATTATGTATTACGACTTTTAAATGTATTTTTACAGCTATTTCATGCTTAACAAATACCTTCTTTTCACTAAGATTCGTATACACATTATAAACAACTTTTCGTATGAATTGCTGTTGGAATAAAACTGACGCACATTTTGTATATCTAAGGTATGTTATTTATGTACAAACTTTTATATTTACATGTCAACGATTGTCATTTGATGTCATTATATGTTTATTGACACCATACGATCGGTGATATTTTATAATAATCCGTAATATGGACTTCAAAAACAAATAAATATTTTAACCAAACTGCAGTCATTAACTAGAATTTCAACAATGAAATAGCTTTCGAATAGAGTAAGCTAGATAACGACGGTAAAGACAAAACAAGAACCAATATCTGAAAAAGCGCACCGAAATACAGACTATCTTTAGCACGTGCATCAAGTACATAGCTACATACGCTTGACCAGGTTGCTATATTTTCATCTAAAGACCACAGTGAGGCTCTCAACAAGGAGCGAAAACTCACTACTCACACGAGTTATAGGCGACCACTAGACTCGGTTGAAATGCTTTGGGGGATGTCGATGATGCTACATTTGTGCTAATTATTCACTTTGTTGCACTGCATAATCATACAACAGCAATACAGAACAACAAAGGACCAAACTAAAGCATAAATACAGAAACAAATTTAATCCTTTATGAGCAAGGGGTTTAATTTTAAATTTTGTATAGAAACATGTGAAATGTAATTTGATTGTGTTTATTTTTTCAATGAATTATTATTAAGATTTATATCCTCTTTTTTTTGTTTGTTTTTTATTTTTCGTTTTTTTATGACCAGGGGGACAAACTATGTATTTTAAATCGATGATTTAATTGATTTCCAAATCAAACAAGAACGAATTTAATGACATGAGTATTACATACAAACATGTCAATTTTCTAAGTAAATGGAGAGGAACATTTAGTTTTAAAACCCATACTGTCACTCATTTGTCAATTACATTACTTAACACACATACAAAGGTGTATAAATAAATTTTGAGGTTTATCCAAATATTATGAAAAAAGTTTAAGTTAACTGTTTGATTAACAAAAGTGTCCATTTAAAGCTGTAAAACTTGATGTTATTTATTGCATAGGGAAATAGAGAAAAGACGAAAAGACAATGTATGCCAAGGTAGGTTTTTAATTTTAACTTTATTTTCATTAAAAGATGTGAGAATATGAATATTGTAAGATTCTTTGCCATTACCAGTCCTGATATATAGTAGTTTACGAAAAAAAAATTGAGACAATATAACTTAAAACCGTCACCATTTGCTTTTCGCATGCTACATATCTTTCTTTTGTTTTATGAGAGTATATGTTTAACAATAGCCCAACACGGACTGATATGAACAGTCTATATACGTCACTTCATTTGACCACTACCATGAGAAGATATACCTATAATATCTACCTATAATAATGTCACTTGAAGGGAAAAGCTCATCTAAACCCAAACGTCAATCTTTCCGACTACCCATTAATTAGATTGAGGTAAGTCAGAGCAGCAGTAGTTTGCCGATATTCAAATCTCATTATTCCGTTAAGGATTCACAAACTAAAGTATAACCAAAACCCGAACTCCAAAAAGGAGCCACACCGAGTGCATCGACATAGCAATCGTCTACTATTATGCATACATTACCCGCCATGCGAATCCACACTCAATCAGAATGTCACGATCGGGAATAGGATACAATCGGTACTGGGATTTGAAACCCATCGGTCAAATACAAGAAAGCATTAGACCTTTTTTTATTGCTAATAAAACCGAATGGATCAAATAACCTGATCAAAAATAAGACACACGAAGGACGGTTTTCATGTACATTGTAGACACGTGGCTAAAGTATAAAGCCTTGGTAAGACTTTTCAAATGATATAAACTTCGATGTATACAAACATGTTTAAACTTTATGCAGATCCATGATCTTAATTTTTTTTACCAAGACCAATCTTTTGCAATAGCATTAACCACTGCACATTGTAAACTTGTTTTCTTGTCTATTTTTAGGATTTACATGGAAATATTCTGGTAAGTCTATACATTTGAACAACTGTTGACCAGTTGCTTCTTACTCTAACTAAATGATCTGAAATAAGTAAATAAACATTGAAATTTATTGAAATATATGTACTTTTCAATTGTTTGATATTTTAGATAAACAAGATGTTCAAATACACGCACTATTCAAGGGGGGGGGTTTATTTTGGTCGAAGGGGACAAATTGACCACATTTTGGTATGCAGTATGACAAATACATAATTATTGTCTGCGAAGACAATTACACATCAGTTCATTATCATGTATCGATTCCAATCTGTAGTTGCAAAGCCCAGGATAGATATTGAATCATTGAAGGTGGATTTGGTCGACTAGGCTAGTGTTGTGGATGGTATGCAAGTAGCGTTGCTGTGAGTTGAGAGTTTCAGTGAGATTTTAGGGAGACCTGCTGGGGACACGACTACACTTCGACTGCTTGGAAAAATCTAAACCGGACAATGTTTCCTAAACATATAGACCAAACAGAGTGTGTACGATTTGAGTCTTCAATCAATATGACTGACTTACATATATTACATGTAATATTACACATATATGTTAGAAAATCTCTGTTTGTGTGTTGTAACGACGCAAACAATAGAGAAAAGACAAAACCACAAAGGAAAAGTATTTACAAGATTATTACATAGAAACAAAGGGGAAACTAAAATGTTTACAGCATTTACATACATTTATTTTAAGTCAGAAAACAAGACCTGAAACATAAAATCTTTAATTGACATCACCAGATGTTTACTTGCAATAATCAACACGATAGATCCCATTAGTGGAGCATGAACTGCTTATTTATATTTCTGAGAACATATGTTTCCCCCCTTTTTTGGTGGGATTCGTGATGCTCAACCTTAGTCCAGTTTGGTGTGTACTGTTTTGTAGATTGTTGTTTGTCTTTCCGTTGCTTATCTTCTGACCATGGCAATGGTTTTTTTTCGACATATAGTTTTGAACAATGCCATGGTATTTTATTTATCATTTTTTAATGTCGTGTTCACAAAATAGTTTCGTATATCAAGACTTATTATCATTATAGACAAATTTTGGATATTTTTCGGAAATCTCCCAGTAGCCATGTACTGGAGAAATGAGAACACACATTAAATTTCATCGGTGGTGACAATATTCTACCAGCTATCAAAACTAAAACTTTTGATAAGTATACACTATTTTGTGATATCTTGAGTTTTTGAAAGTTTTAATGTTGAAAACGACTTTCACTTTGCTTTAGACATCTGGTGGATATAGAGCTGAGATTACCAGCAGGATGACTGTAAAACCTCCCACACGACAGCATGTTCCACAGTACGCAAGAATTAAAGAAGACAATAGGTCCCATAAATGCGCTGAATGTGATAAACTTCATTTTGAGATAGAACGACTGCAAATGCAACTTGAGGAGAGATCCAGTAGAGGAACCAGGCTAGCAATGATTGACACAAGAGAATCAGGACGTTCGGGTGATTACAGACATAATAATAGCTGGTGAGTAATATATGTAAGGCTTAAAACATGTTAACATACAAATTGTTTTTGGTTTGCCAAACGCAGCTTTATTTAAGACAATCTCCATCGTGATTAGAAGCTGCCAATCAGAACATGCAAACAGCTAGTTTACCAATGCTCACTAAATCATTCCAGTAAAATAACTACAAAAAGATAATAGTTATCCCAACACAACGCTAATGTTGTTGGTTTTTTTTCAATATCAAAACCTAAGGTAAAACGGTAAAAAACTATTTGAATTAGTCTTCACGATGAAGTTAATTGACTTCATTGCTTCTATTGCTGTCTGACTGATAATTTTTCTGGATTTTTGTATCTTTATTGCCCAATGCAGTTTCGCCGATATCAGTCTTTAAAAATGGATTGAAAGAATTCAAACAAATTTGCAATGACTATTGATATTTAATCCGAGTGATTTTTGATGTTTTAGAAATTATTGCTTGTATCTGAGTCTCAGCTTGTATCAAAATAAAAATGTGGTACGATTGCAAATGAGACAGTTTGTTTATCCTAATCTCTATGCGAAATGCTAACAGAATTCCACTAAACTTGCACATATTCTCCAATAGGACATGAACTTTGCACCTGCTAGTTTAAATTTTATCTAAGTAATTTTTCATACAAAGACATGAACTTAGCCTGCCCTGCTTATACTAATTTGTTAATTCGCAATTGCCTAAAAAGATTCTTCTACGGGATATGCAGTTGTGCACCTGCGAATTTGATTTTAATCTTAGTAATTGTGGGTGTTTTCCATCTTAACCATTGCTGCTTATATTATATGGAAACGGCAGGCGACACACGTATTGCTTGGAAGACTCGCAGAGTGTAGAAATATAATGATAAATATGATTAAATTTTCGCTTTAATGGAATAAATGTAAAATGGTCCAAGCATTTTTACAGGGAAGCTTCATGGGCAGACACTCCAGATCTTCTATCCACTCACAATAAGGGAGAAAATCATAGACAAAGACGTCAACAAACTGATCTACAAGAAGAAGTAAAGCGACTGAAAAGAGAACTGCACCAAAGAACATTGGAAGTGAGGAATTTACGCGATCTACGTACTCAAACACCCACCGGGTAATTAAGAAACCCAAGAAGTTAATTCTTCTTTGGCAATTCTTTATCTATTTAATGAAAAATCTCACTATTTTTATATGTTTATTTCAGTCCTGATTGCATGTATTCAAATCAAGATTGGCATATATCAAAAGACTTTTTACTATAAAAGTGTTATTCCTTTACGATAAAAACTGCACTGGACTTAGTATGTAGGCGACACAGAGAAATGATATACACTTATATAAGTAAAGGAGATGTAGGGTATACACCAATGAGATATCAACCAAATGAAACAAAAACACAAAAAAAAACATCTATCTATTTTATACATTTGAATGAATCAACTTTTACTTATAGAATTACAAGAACCAAACTAAATCGTTTTACTAGGAGATATCAGTATGTGTTTAGTTATCATAAAATAATTGTGATCTTTCTAGTACTCAGCAAAAAATTGATAATTGTTGAAAAAGATAAAAGCGACTTCTGTTATGTCTACAGGGACATTCCATAACACCCCTTTATTGTTCATCTATTTTTAGTGCTGATGTAGACGCAATGGTAGACCCTTTGCCAGTTGACAGAGTGTCATCAATGTATACCGACATTTACCAAAACGATTGGTCAACAGCAAATAAAGCTTTACAAAAGGATAAGTTGAACCACGAACAAGCTGCTCAAAAACTGCTTACCGTACTGATTGTGAGTTTATTTTTAACTGAAGTACAGGGAACGTGATATAGTTAATTCTACAATCATCAATAACAAAGGATATATAATATATATACAACTATTACTCAAAATATCGATTACAGATAAACCTGATTTGTCTTTGTATTTAACAAAGATTCACCTTTTTTTAAAAGCCTTGACTTGGCTCAAGAAACAGTTGTACTACTTTTATAGATCCCAACTCTTCCTCTTCTGTCTAGCTGAAATAATCATAGTTGTACTACCTTTATAGATCCCAACTCTTCCTCTTCTGTCTTGATGACAAAATCATAGTTGTACTACCTTTATAGATCCCAACTCTTCCTCTTCTGTCTAGCTGACATAATCATAGTTGTACTACCTTTATAGATCCCAACTCTTCCTCTTTTGTCAAGCTGACATAATCATAGTTGTACTACCTTTATAGATCCCAACTCTTCCTCTTCTGTCTAAATGATATAATCACAATTGTACAACCTTTATAGATCCTAACTCTTCCTCTTCTGTCAAGCTGACATAATCATAGTTGTACTACCTTTATAGATCCCAAACTCTTCCTCTTCTGCCAAGCTGACATAATCATAGTTGTACTTCCTTTATAGATCCAAACTCTTCCTCTTCTATCAAGCTGACATAATCATAGTTGTACAACCTTTATAGATCCCAACTCTTCCTCATCTGTCTAGTTGACATAGTCATAGTTGTATATACCCTTATATATTGTATTAGTCCTCTACCGTATATCTGACATAATCATAGTTGTACTACCTTCATAGATTGCACTTATCCTCCATGTCTATCTGACATTATTATGTTGTGCATACCATAATAGATTGTACATGTCCTCTATCGTACATAATCATATTTCTACATATTCGAATAGACCACATACGTCCTTAACCGTCTATCTGATAATAGTATGTTGCACATACTCTAATAGATTGCAGATGTTCTCCATCGTATATCTGACATGATTATTGTTGTTCATACTGTAAAAGATTCGAAATTTCTCTACCATCTATCTTACATTACTATAGTTGCACATACTCTTGTTGACTGACCAATTCCTCTACCGTCTATATGACAATATCATAGTGGATACATTTTGTATATTACACAAGTTTTAACCGTCTATCTTACATTGCCCACTACCGTCTATCTGACAATGTAAACTGTCTTCTACCGTCTCTGACCTTATTATTGAATTTGTCATGGCAATGACACTTGCTACTGGAATGTCAAGACGGTTTATGCAGACATATATAGAAAGAGATGCTTACTGTCTGACATTGTGCAAAGAAAATTTTCACACTGGTGCTGGAATTTGATATTGATTATTTCATGATATCATTAACAATCATATCGGTTGTATAAAACTTTGAAATTGTAGATTTCTCATGTTTATATGTATTTGTATTGTCAAAAAGTAGAATTCATGTAGAAGCTTTTTTTTCAAATTTTCAGGATGCTTTTACTTACTGTGACAAAGTTGCACCACAGCATCTAGAGGCAATTCTCAAATCAACTATTAAAGTCAAAATTCAGGTATGTAATCATTTTATTCATCAGCAAGCAATTCAATAAATACGCAATATTTAGATAAAAATGGAAACTGCACGGCTTTAAAGCATACTTGAAAAACTTTTTGGAAGCAAGCTAGCAAACCGAAAGCGGCAGCATAAGAAAAAGTTAAATTGAAATTTATGCAACACTTTGGCGTGATAAAAAGTAATATATTAAATTATGGCAGATATAAAAGTAGAAGATTATAAACAATGACGACATATATCAAGGCACAGCGAAAGTACCTTCTGATAATTAAGCACAGTAAAAATAAATCTGTTAAAAAAGAAACGCCCCATATCATCGGTTTCTAAAGACAACGAAAAGGTATAACTAAAGCAAAACTGAATAATACCGTCTAAAAGAATAATTGAAATAAATGAAAGCAACCCGAAAGAAGTAAATCTGCTGATAAAAATAATTTCGTTTCACCTTATTCTATTTGCGGCTGTACTTCCGAGTAGATTTCATAAGCGCCGTCTTGTAATGTACTAAAAGAGAAGTGAAATATACCAAAGGGACATTCAAACTCATCAACTGACAACGCCATGGCAAAAAAAGAAAAAGACAAACAGACAAACAACAGTACACAAAACACAACATAGAAAACTAAAGATTGAGAAAAACGAACACCACCAAAAACTGGGGTGATCTCAGGTGCTCCGGAAGGGTAAGCAGATCCTGCTCCGCACGTGGCATCTGTCGTGTTGCTCATGTTAGTACATAACCGGTGACAAGTCTAATTCGGTAGGTCACATTTGGGGAAAAGGGGACGAGATACACAATACACAATGCACAATCATACACAATACACAATCTTACACGATATCAGGTCTACGAAATAAGCATTTTTAGATATCAATGTAAATCATTAATTTTGTAAATTCGTTGTAAAATAAAGTAAGTTATTTCCAGCTTAGTTCATATCAAAGCAAACTCATATAGTCATGCGATGTTTGTGATAAAACATTTCTTAGGCAGCTTTAATTTACATAAAACTTTGATTGACACAATATGTCATTATTGGTTGATTTTAACTGCTCTTGATATAATCTATTACTAGTATTTTACAATAATTGGATTTTTCAAATATATGAATATTCTCTTCTGGACAACAGTGTTTTTTATCTCGCATAGTCTAGACCTTCTGCGATGTTTCCTATCTACCGATGTCGCTGGTAAAGTTTTATAAAACAAAAACCTCTTACCTCTTGAGTCTAAAATACTGGTATTCGGACATTAGATTTTATTTTTAAAAACATTTACTTATGGTTTAAAATGACCCTACATATCGTTGGTTATTCAAACCTGGGATTATAGCACCGTTTTTACAGAAACTTTATTAGATAAATACAAGTGACATAAATTAAAATATTTCCCAATCGTTTCTAGATTACAATTTCATATTTATGCATTATCTGAATATTGTTTACTTTCAAGAACATTCTTAGGAAATTATATTTTCATGTGTCTTAGTTGAATTTATTTTTCAATCAAAGTTATGTTTTGGTCAGAATCTAGCAAGGATTAAAGGAAATACAATCCTCAAATCTTGAAAACTGTTTAGTTTTATAGACAAATTATTCTGAACTTTAATCATCCGACAGATCATATTTATAATTTGATGTATATTCTAAACACATAATCTACTTATCTGAATACTCTTTCATTGCCAATGTAGCTTCCATTATTTTACCTTTTCTTGAATTTTCATATTTACCTTTACTGTTTGATATCCACTATCAGGGCACAACAAATGTTCCGAGCACTAAAGGTGAAGAAGCCGACATACACCAAGAAGCTGGATTTTTTAGAAAATCTATAGCTGAGAAAGTAGCATTGAATATCATCAAGGTAGGAATTATATGATTTTGGATCACAGGACTAGGAATAAATGCATTGAAGTTGCTTACTCTGAATTTACCTAAATGATTACCATAAACTGGTACATTTCCATAAATGATTGTTTTCTAGCGTGTAAAACAACCAAAATATTCAGATGTCAAAAGACTGTGAAGATATGTACTAAACATTATACTAGATTATTTTTGTAAACTTCGTGTACTAGTATTCGACTAAGCACTACTAAAATATAAGTAACCATTATATTTTAACAAATTTTGAATTTTCTGCATTTGGGGTGCTTTTTAAGATATACCTTAACCAGGAACAATTGCAAGGTAAAAAATGTATACTTCAGTATATATATGACATATAATAAAGTACTCAAACGGCTCCAGGTAAAAGTTGTTTAAGGACCATCGAATCTTACATTGTGTAACAATTACGAAATTTTGTGAATTTATGGCAGATGGGACTTCTGTTCTTATAAAAACTATAAAACGATTATCAACTAAAAATGTAAATTCAATAAGTCAAATCACTGACTGACTGCTGGGAGGGTTATGCCCTATGGGAGTAATGGTTCACATCAACCATCCGTGCTAGTATATAAAAGGAAAATCTATGTAATTGTGGATCCGTCTCCGAGGGTACAAGTCGGCCAGAAGCTATTGGTTTCGATTGATAAGAAGGTATTACATAATGCATAACTGACAGTTCACCGGTGTATATCACAAAATGCAAACAGACATCTATTTAGACTATTAGCGTTCATTATCCAATTAATGCATTAATTCTGTGTCTGACAAAAAAAATAGGACAAAAGTAATTTTTCCATTTTTCTGGAAAACAAACTAATTCTGAGAATAAATGTAAGACTCAGATCGACCACCAGTCTCTAATCGACGTCCGTTCCTCAAATCGATGTCAAATATGACGTCATGATAAAATAAGATTTCCATGCCCCTGTAATCGAAGTCGTTTGCTTTGGTTATCAGATTGGTGTCCAAATCTTGGCTTCTCTAATCGACGCCATATTTGATTCTTTGCAGTGAAAATAACTCTACATATTACGCTATAATTTGTATGTTTGAGTTTTTTACTAACAAAAGTATTCCATGTTTGAAGTCAGGAACCTTGTTAGTAGTTGTCGTCTTTAATACCTGATGTATTGTTATTTGGATAATCGAATGTAAATGGTAGATTTATTTTTGTTGCTGTTCAAGAGGGTGTGATCATTTCTTTTGTTTATGTTTTACTCCAGATGTAAAACTCAGAAATGTGTTGAAAAATATCCTGCAGAGTCCGAATTATATTACTTTCGCAATACTTTGCCGTACTTCTTTATTTTGTCTTTTGTTGAAGACTGTATGTTGCCCTCTATACGTCTTTCGGTTGTCTTGTCGATGGGTTGCTGTTTCATTGAATTTTACTCACATATCCTTTATTTGTATAAATATGAAAGGCATACGATAACATAAAATTCTTCCAATCAAAATATCAATATGCATGTACATGTTATAAGATGAAGGTGTTCATTGATTAGTTTTACATTTGTCATGTCGAAGACTTTCATAGCTTGCTATGCCGTATGGGTTTTAGTTGATTCAAGCAGCTTTACAACGATCGCTAATATAAATAAGGATAATCGTTTTAGGAATACACGTCGAAAATTGTAAGTCGAGTAAAGGGTGAAAAATATTAGATCTTGATTTGAGAATGAGACGTCAGATTGGATGTCGATTTGAGGAACCGATGTCGATAATATACCGGAAGTCGATCTGATTGATTGATTGAATGTTGACTGAGTCTTACATATATAATAGCAAATTAATCCACGTTTTAAGCAACTTCAATTTTATTTTTTTTAATGTTATTGCTGAAATCATCCTTCATTATGCAATAAATGCATAAGTAATAATGTCCTCGTCGTATAAATGAAAATCAGGAATCACCACATTTTACCACTAGTACTTAAAAAGAATTTTTTGAAGTAATTTTTGTTTAGACTAAATATGCATGCCATTCATTTTCATTGGACAATTATGTTTTTTACAAATGATTAAGAATTTATATAAGATAATTGTTTTTTTAAGATTAAAAAAATTAAGTCCGATCATATTCTTTGTGACACTTTGAAAAATATAAAATAGCTAGTTTGAATCAAGTAAATCATGAAAACACAAATAGACGTGAAGCGCAACTGTTTCAAACAGAATTATTGTCACTTGCAGATTTTCTCACTATTCATGTAACAAAATATCATTTTTTTTCATTATTGTCAAGTTATTTCGTAGAGAATCTTTCCTGAATTGAAATGTTTTACACAGCTCGTTCAACGATGGGAACTTTAAATTTTATATATATATTGTATCGTAGCTTACATTTAATTCATTCATTTTATTGTATTTTCAGAATTTTCGATATGAAGTTTTTATGAGGAAGAACACTTTTACTCCCAAACAAAAGCAGAATATAGACATTACTTCATATGTAGATAAATGTGTTCAAATCACATGGTACATGGCGGTTCAAAATTATCCAATTATCTTAGATGACAGTGTATCACGTGATAAAACTTTTGAATACACGCACTACACCTCTTTCAACGAGGAAGATGAAGTTCATGGTGCTGTTTATCATTATCTTATTTGGCCAGCTCTTATAAATGCAGAAAATAATGTATACCTTTGTAAAGGTGTTGCTGAAAGATCAAAGTCGTTTTAATTTTTCATGTTTTATCACAGAAGAATGTTTTAAAATGTTACCTCCTGTCTTGTTATGGAAGTAATGTTATTTATTATGTACGATTTTTCACACAGGCGAAGGTACTATTGATTATTCGTAGAAAATTTTAATAAAACATGCATTTTGAATAATCATTAATTTTGGTTAAATATTCGTGTATTACTTATATTCACAAGCATATGATCTCCTATGTAATAAAAATTGAACACCACTGGGTTGATGCTATTGCTGGTTGATATGTTGATATGTTCATTTTTTGGTAAATTTACTGTTCATAACATTTGAATCGTTCGAAACACTTAGGTTTTTATACTCTCAAGCATAGATTGCTGTAGCCGTAGTTGGCACAATTTTTCCGAATTTATTGCTATTAATTTACTGTCATTCTAGCGATATTTTTTTACATTGTCATAAAGGGGGAGGTTTGTCTAGCCATTAAAACAGGTTCAACCCACCATTTTTTCCTAAAATGTCCTGTACCAAGTCAGGAATATGGCAGTTGTTATCAAATAGTTCGTTTCTATGTATGTTGGCGTTTGTTTTTGTTGCACTTCAGTGTTCCCGTTGTTCCTTTGTTTTCCTCTTACAGTAGACGTGTTTCCCTCGGTTTTAGTTTGTAACGCGGATTTGTTTTCTCTCAATCGATTTATGACTTTTGAACACCGGTATACTACTGTTGCCTTTATTTAATGCCTTTCAACTTTGTATTTGATTTTGCCTTTCTTCTGCGTTGATTTGAGCGCCATCTATGAGTCTCGTGTAGCCGAAACGCAAGTCTGACTAACCAAATTATAAGTCTGGTATATTTAATGAATTTATCCATCAGTATCCATATCTGATAAAAGTTCAAAAATCCTTATCCAAATATGAGGGTATGGATGGGGATTACAGAATAGAGAATAATTGGCCAGAACAAATATGAAGAATAGAGAAAAAATGGACCAAAAATTAAAGAATATAGATAATGAGGTGCTAAAATATAAAGAACAGAGAATAATGAGGTGCTAAACTATATAGAATAGAGAATAATGAGGTGCTAAAATATAAAGAATAGAGAATAATGGACAAGAAGTATAAAGAATAGAGAAAATAGCCTAGAAAATAAAAGAATACAGAAATGAAGTATCATCCATCCAGACCCTCAAATATAAAGTTGTGAACCGACTATGTGGTGAATTATAATCTCGGGACTAATACATTTTGAAAACCAGCTGTGAGCAGTTGTACCCAGATAATTACAAAAAAATGCAAATTATAAATTATTTAAATATGAAACGTTTTCTTGATAAAACATTAGCTGGTATTTTCCAGGTCGACAGTTTTGGAGTCTTAACTAAAAAGAAAGCTTAAAACATAAAATTTAAAAGATCTACACTGACGGTCAAAGCGGTTAAATCAGAAATTAAATTACAATCTCACTTGACGAAGCTAATTCAAATACGTTTCGTGCGCTCAAAACTCTTTATTCTACGTATTTAAAACCAAATATATACGACATTTTAAGTATACTAGATCTTCATTTGAAAATGCATAATATAAACGGAAACATACAGGTTTTAAAAATGACACTAATCTACTCGAAAATACAAAAGAGAACAGTTTAAATAAAACTTGTAAGATCATACAAAAATATAAATATATAATTTGATGTTGTATCAATGATACCGAATGCTTAAAAGTCGAATTAAACAAAATAACATTTGGAAAAGTATCTTTATAAGACAAACTATATCCATCGGTAATTGCTACATATAACTGAGTACAAGTACTGAGAAATTTGCATGTACGTATTCGTAATCAGATACCTTATTTACATAAAAAGAAAAAAAAACGTTTTATGTAACAAAAATAAACTCATCATAGATACCAGGATTAAACATACGCCAGACGCGTAATACCTGCATACCCAGAGATTTACATATGAATCCAGAAGTGTCACCGGTGGCTGATTTGTATGTTGAAACCATCAAATTACAATGGTTCAATCTGCAACCAATCACCAGCGAGGGAAATTGACAAAAGGATTGCGCCTTCAAACATGTTTATCCCGGCCACATTCTGTATATGTCTGTCCCTAGTCAGGAGCCTGGAATTCAGTGGTTGTCATTGGTCTGTCACATTTGTTTTGCGTAAATTGTTCGGTTATAAATTAGGTCGTTTGTTTTCTCAATAGAATTGTTTCATACTTTTCATGTCGGGACCTTTTATAACCAACTATACGGTATGGGTTTTTCACTTTATTTGAAATTTGGTGGCTAGTTGTCTCATTGACAATCATACCACATCTCCTTATTTTTATAAGAACTATGAATTGCGGAACAAAGAATGTGTCTACAGTTTTTAATTACAGAATAACCGTTATTCTTATATACATTCTTTTGATAATTGTCAAGGATATATAATAAAAACTTTTAATTCAAAACTACACACAAAAAAAATCGGTTATGTATAGGCTTGTCTGTCTTTCTTTGTATTTAGTATATTCATTATTATTTCTATTATTCATAAGCCGATTTGACCAATCATAACACACGATAATCATATAAATACTTACATAATTGGTGTGTTACCCTAGCACATGACATTGATGCTTCGTATTCAAATATCTCTAATAATCTATTATTCGTTTTGTAGATAATTTCTCAGTAGCTCAATAAAGAAAAATCTTTTGAAAGGAAAATTGCTATCTAGACAGACGAGGAAAATTCAAACACCTGAGCTTAAATGATAATTTAATGATGTTGGACAATTTTTTATTCGTCGTGTTGAACATCTTTTCACTGAAAGACAAATTATTATATGATTTCAGTTTTGTAACAATTCAGTTTTTTTCAACATAGGCTTGTGACAAATGATTTATTGTAATTTGTAACGAGGGAATTACGGCAATTTATGGGAAAATACACGTATCAAAACAAATTTACGATCTGCTTAGTGGGTGTCATTACACACCTTTGTCTCACCCCTCACCTAAATAAAACTTTTACTTTCAATAACATTTGCTTATGCAACGTTTATTTTATATAAAACTTTTTTTTTTGTCGTATGGTTTATTCATGGTATTTCTTAATCAGAATTATTAAATGACAAGACCGCCAATACACGTAAGATTTATATATATGATGACTATAAGTATATGATATGACAGAGTAATCGAAAATTCGGGCAACGTATCAACTTGCTTTATTAAAACAACTGATTTGACAATAAATTGGGGAAGGAGACAACAACACACTAATCCAGAAAGGAAAACTGGTTGACAGCAAGACATAGCTACAGTTAGTATATAATAAATTTTTCAATGTTGCAGTCTGTCAAATCTTTAACATACGATGCATACCAGATACTATTAATTGATCCGATTTTTGCAGGTCACACCGCTTAAGTTAACCACATATCAGACGTTTTTTATCGTCGCCCGGATCTAGAAATAACACAGGGTTTCAGTAAATGTCCCTTTTTCACCTGTCATAATTTGCACCTGGATTTTGTCAATACAGACGTTCATACTTGGTATTGATAAAGAATCGGCTTACGTGACTGCATTAACTTTCCTAGAATCCAATCAAAGTCTAACTTTGTTTGCTAGTGTTTTACTCCACTTTCATCATCGTCAAATTGTCACTGAAAATGAACTACTTAGCTCACTGAGCCACTGAGATCCCAGTTCACAGTCTGACGTAGGTGTCATTTTCATAATTTCCTTTTTCAAAAGTCAACTTCCAACTTAAATTTGAAGGGATGAATGAATGAATATTTTATTGTAGAAGCAAACATAATGCTATAGCAAAATAACATAATATATGTACATAGTGACAATAAACAAGGAACAATATAATCAAATCATAGCAAGTACAGAAATACAACTGTTATGTAATCATGATTTGTGATCTTAGCTTCCATGCTGCATTTAGAAATTAGCACAATTTTCGGTTAAATTCTATGAGCTAGCTTGCAGAAGAAATACAAGCTTGGTCATGAACAGTAGAAGGTAAAAGCTGTAGCCTAAAAGCTCTAAAAGCAGAATATACTAATACAAAATGATATTTCGCCTGTTCTATACTTTCATTATAACAACATGTAAAAATACGATATTCTCTTGAAATATTGTAACGACCCACTAATGATTCATACGACAAGAATGGTGTCTTATATGAGCAACCTCTCCTACCTATGAATCATGAAAATATCATTTGTTGGTTAACTGATCAAGCTTTGTAAATAATTTTGTCTTTTAAAGTGGTCAAGTTTAGTCACGTCTTAATTGTCTACAAAGTTAAAATTTAGTTTCACTGCTATCCTTGTGTACATGGGATGAGGTGACTATAAATTTTAATTTACTAGTGGTGTCCCTCTCAGTATGCTCTTTTAACATATCAATGTGGCACAAATATATACTTCTTCTCGTTGAAGTGGTGTGTTGAACATACAGTAAGTTATTAAATTTGGACTCTTTAACAGATGGGCGTACCTGGACAGTGATCAGTAGATGTCCAAAATTGCTTAATAAAAAAAACGCTATTATTAAGGATGATTCTGAACAATTTGATCATCCCGTTGTATCATTTTTACATTTGTTTTCTGTAAATTTCTGATACAAAGCCAAAAACAAAATCAGTACATGTATATCTTCCGGTACCTTATTTCGTTTTGTTTCAATAATTTTAACGGGTCCCAAACAGAATAATCGAAGACTATTTCAAAAGAGCTAATAATTCAAAACTCACGAAAGACCCAAAAAATGTAGTAAGAAGCTTAAGGACTCCATCATCCTAGTTTTTCTGTATTTCTAAACAAAAAGTTATAATCATATTTTCATGAAATTCTTTCAAAAGCCGCTCTAGATTCTTGGTAATAAAAATTGGATTTAAATTATTTTATGAATAACTAGGAAAAAATTGGCATAATGTAAGACCCCTGGTCTTAATGGATGGATTTAAGAAGACCGTGTGATCTTAGCTTCCATGCCGCATTTAGAAATTAGCACAATTTTTCGATTAAATTCTATGAGCTAGCTTGCAGAAGAAATACACAAGCTTGGTCATGAACAGTAGAAGGTAAAAGCTGTAGCCTGGAAGCTCTAAAAGCAGAATATACTTATACAAAATGATATTTCGCATGTTCTATACTT